GAGAGTTTTTATCAGGAAAGGGTGTTGGATTTTATCAAATGCTTTTTCTGCATCAATTGATATGACTATATGATTTTTATCTTTCAATTTGTTTATGTGATATATCACGTTTATTGATTTGTGGATATTGTACCATCCTTGCATTCCTGGAATAAATCCTACTTGGTCATGGTGTATGATCTTTGTGATGTTCTGCTGGAGCCATTTACTAGAATTTTGTTGAGGATTTTGGCATCTATGTTCATGAGGAATATTGACCTGTAATTCTCTTTCATTGAGTTGTCTTTATCTGGTTTTGGTATTAGGATGATGCTGGCTTCATAGAAGGAGTTTGGAAGTGTTCCTTCCTCTTGAATTTTTTGGAATAGTCTGAGGAGGATAGGTTTTAGTTCTTCCTTGAATGTTTGGTAAAACTCTCCTGTGAAGCCATCTGGCCCTGGGCTTTTGTTTGCTGGAAGCTTTTTGATGACTGTTTCAATTTCTTCCCAAGTCACTGCTCTATTGAGATTTTTAGATTCTTTCTGATTGAGATTTGGAAGTTTGTATTTTTCTAGGAATATGTCCATTTCCTCCAGGTTGTTCAGTTTGTTGGAATAGAGTTGTTCGTAGTATTTTGTAACAATCCGTTGTATTTCGGGGGGTATGTTCTTATTTCACCTTTTCCATTCCTGATTTTGTTTATTTGAGTCCTCTCTCTTTGTTTCTGGTTAGCCTGGCTAGAGGTTCATCTATCTTGTTTATCCTTTCAAAGAATCAGCTCTTGGTTTTGTTGATCTTATGTATTATTTTTTTGGTCTCTATGTCGTTTATCTCCGCTCTGATTTTTGTTATTTCCTTCCTTCTGCTTACACTGGGCTTTTCTTGCTCTTTTTCTAACTCTTTGAGTTGTAGAGTTAGATCATTTGTTACCATTTTTTGTTTTGTTTTTTGCAATAGGCTTGTAGGGATATGAACTTCCCTCTCAAAACTGCTTTTGCTGTGTCCCATAGATTTTGGATTGTTGTGTTTTCATTGTCATTTGTTTCCAGGATGTTTTTAATTTCTTCCTTGATTTCTCTGGTAACCCAGTCCTTGTTTAATAACATGCTGTTTAGTCTCCATGTGTTTGATTTCTTTGGGTTATTTTTATTGTAGTTAATTTCCAGTTTTATGCCACTATGATCTGAGAAGATGCTTGATATAATTTCTATCTTCTTGAACTTGAAGAGACTTTGCCTGTGTCCCAAAATGTGGTCTATCTTTGAGAATGTCCCATGTGCACTTGAGAAGAATGTATATTCTGTGGCTTTGGGGTGGAATGTTCAGAAGATGTCGATTAATTCCATCTGGTCTAGTGAGTCATTTAGGATTGATATTTCTTTGCTGATTTTTTGTTTAGATGATTTGTCCAAGGGTGACAGTGGGGTATTAAAATCTCCTACTATGATTGCATTGCTATTAATCTCTCCCTTAATATCCTTCAGCAGTTTTTTTTATTTTATTTTATTAAAAAAAATTTTTTTTTAATGTATTTGGGTGCTCCTGTATTGGGTGCATATATATTTACCAGGGTTATTTTTTTCTTGTTGGATTGTTCCCTTTAGTATTATGAAGTGGCCTTCATTATCTCTTGTTATGTCCTTCTCTCTGAGATCTAATTTGTCAGATATAAGTATTGCTACCCCAGCTTTTTTTTCAATTCCATTCGCCTTGTAAACCTTTTTCCATCCCTTCACCCTCAATCTGTGTGAGTCTTTTTTTTTTTTTTTTGAGATGAGTTTCTTGTAGACAACAGATATAAGGGTCTTGTTTTCTTATCCAATCTGTTACCCACTACTGATTCTTTATACATGAAGTTGTCCTATAGATTCCTATTTTGTTGCTGCTCTTGCTTCCTGGGAAGGTTTCATTGCATTTTCTCCTCGATTTAAAGTTTAGTTTGGAATCTTTGGTATAGAGTCAAATGCTAATAGTGTTTGATACTATTTAGTGATCAGGATTCTATAGATCATGCTCTGTCACTGTGTTAGGGCATCCATTCCTCCATTCACAGTTATCTGTCAATCTCCATTATCAGGATTATTTAAATGTCTATACCCTCTCTCCTTCCCTCCCTTCCTTTTACTTATGTTTTTATTTTCTTTCTTTCTAAAGACTATTACATCCTTGGAATAAAGTAGTATTCCCAGACCACTCTGTAATTAATTACTTTTTAACTATGCCTAGATCAGGGATGAGTTGCTTTTGCTTGATAATTTTGAACAATTTATATAAATACTGTTATATTGTACTAATGTTATGTTATATTATGTTATGTTGTTATACCATAACTGTTTTTAACTTGTTTTCTTTTCCAAAGTTTGTGTTTACAATTTGCAATGGGAAGTTTGCCTATCAACCAGTTGTATGGAAGTGACTCATTAGAAGATGCTGAGAGGGACATCCAGTATTTCTTTCCTCCTCAAAAAACTTTAGCACTGATTAAACCTCACGTAACACCTGAACAAAAAGGTAAATATTTAAAAATAAAAGCCACTGTATACAATTTCTTCAAATTTAGTGAAAAAATTTTCAAACTACAGGAAAGTTGAAGGAATAATGCCAATTCTTAATATAGTCAGAATATAGCCCCCCAAGTTTAAGCTGTGGGTGGAACTTTGACAAGATTTACATTATTTAATTCCCTCAATAGTTTCCTTCTACTTCAGGAAGAAGAGTTCAGATTGGCTCTAATCTTCAATTTCGATCTAGCAAGAAGTTTCTTGGCACTGGTAGCACAGAGTGAAACATGTCTTAACTTTTAGCACAGGAGCTGGTCCCCTCCTCTCCCACTTTCATAGTCCACTCGATGTTTCAGAAAAGATGCTTCTCAGAAATGAAGCACCTATAATAACATATTAACGTTCTTCTGAATGACAGTCTGGTGCTTTTTAAGTTCAATTTAGGTTAGCTTAGTTTTGGTTTTTAAAATCACAGTATGCAAGTAAAACTATCACCATCCTTAGTTATTTCCATCTACTTGAACATGGAGTAAAATGGAGGCAATCTGTATGATTTGCAAATATCTGTTTTCTCTAGAGGCGATCTTACACCGTATTAAAGAAGCTGGATTTGAAATAATACGAATAAAGGAAATTCTGCTACTCAAAGAGCATGCTGACAAAATTTATTATAAAATAACACATAAAAAATTTTATAACAGTGTATTGGAGATATTGGCTTCGTAAGTTTCTGAAATATAGTTCTTTGCATTATAAAGTAGTAAATGTTCATTGTAGAAATAGAAAAAAATTAATTAAAACATTTAATCTAATCTCATTCATGAAATGACACCTTATTAATATTTTGTGTTCATTTCCTTCCCATTTCTTTTCTTTCCTCCATATCTTTCTCTCTTTCCTCTCCTTATTCCTTTTTTCCTTTCTTTCTCCTTCCTTCCTTTTTTTTTTTTTTTAAAAAAATTTAGGTCTTCACATTAGATGTAGAGGCTGTCTGGGTTTAATTTCCTGGTTACCAATATACTTTATCTCTATCTTATTTTCTTATATGTAAAACTAGAGGTCCAGTGCACGAAATTCATGCATGGAGAGGGGGGTGTACCTCAGCCCAGCCTGCACCCTCTCCAATCTGGGACCACTCGAGGGATGTCCAACTGCACAGATCCTGGTGGGATCCGGCCTAAACGGGCATTCAGACTTTCTTCTCACAAGCCAGGACTGCTGGCTCCCAACTGCTCATCTGCCTGCTTTCCTGATTACCCCTAACAGCTTCTGCCTGCCAGCCTGATCATCCCCTAACCACTCCCCTGCCAGCCTGATTGATGCCTAACTGCTCCCCTGCAGGCCTGGTCACCCCTAACTGCCTTCCCCTGTAGGCCTGGTTCCCCTCAACTGCTCTCCCCTGCAGGCCTGGGTCTCACCCAACTCCCCTTCCCTGCAGGCCCGATCACCCCCAACTTCCCTCCTCTGCTATCCTGGTCACACCTATCTGCCCTCCCCTGCAGGCTTGATTGCCCCCAACTTCCCTCCCTTGCAGGTCTGGTCCCTCCCAACTGCCCTCTCCTACTTGCCTGATGGCCCACAACTGCCCTCCCTTACAGGCCTCGTCCCTCTCAACTGCCCTCCTCTGCTGGTCATCTGTGTCCATATGGTGGCAGGATCTTTGATAACCTGGGGGAGGCCATCTTGTGTGTTGGAATAATGATCAATCTACATATTACTCTTTTATTAGATAAGAGAGATGCCTAGTGTATGAGTGGGAGCCGGCTGGTTTGCCCTGAAGTGTATCCAGAGTCAAGGTGGGGGTTCCCTTGGGGTGTGGGGTGGCCTAGGAAGGGGCCTGTGATGGTTTTCAGGCCGGCCATGGCCCCTGGCAACCAAAGTGGAGGCCCTGATATCTGGGATTTATGTATCTTCTATAATTGAAATTCTGTAGCCTGGAGCGGAGCCAAGCTTCCTGTTTGCACTGTGGCTGCAGCCATTTCTGTTGGAATTTGTTTACCTTTTTTATAATTGAAACTTTGTAGCCTTAAGCGAGACTGGGGTCTGCAAAGGCTGGCGGAAAGCTTGGCTTCCTCCATTGCTGGGGAAACCCAAGCCTGCCTCTTGCTCTCTGTGGCTGTAGCCATCTTGGTTGGGTTTATTTGCATACTTGCTCTGATTGGCTGGTGGGCGTGGCTTGTGGATGTAGTAGAGATATGGTCAATTTGGATATTACTCTTTTATTAGATAGGATGGGCATGATAATAGTACCTAACTCTTATGTGAGGGCTAAAAAATCGATACATTGAAGATACTTGGAACAGTGCCTGGAATATACCTATAGAATTAAACCATGCCTTTTCTACCAGCATTTTACTATGCCTTGAAACAAACAAAAAAGAGAGCATTAAATCACACTAATAAGTATAAAGAATAAGGAAAAGCACTCTGGCTGAAGTTGTGGCATTCTGTCTCTAGCCACGTATGCAATCTGTACAGTCTTAAGTGGCCCAAGTCTTCTGAAAGCACTGTTATTTGCAGGGGTCCATCTTTGGTCATGGTTCTGAGCAAGTGGAATGCTATTTCAGACTGGAGACGATTGATGGGTCCCACAGATCCGAATGAAGCAAAGTTGTTGTCCCCAGACTCTATCCGAGCCCAGTTTGGAACAAGTACTTTGAGAAATGCTGTCCATGGATCAACGAATGCCGCTGAGGCAGTGCAAGGAATTTATAATATATTTGAAGAGATTGTTCCTGAGAATCCTGAGAATCCCGAGGAAAACTAAAGTACAGTACCTCTTTATTAACTGTTATTTCCTTTTCTTTGGTCGTTACAGTGACTGGGTCTAGGACAAGTTTGCTGTGATCAGAACATCCCTATGTTCCTGAATTAAACTATTTCCTGCCAGACATATTACATTGCTGCACAGCAACCTTGAAGCCTCAAAGCCAAACCTTGTGCAGGGACCTGGGACATAGTGGAATAAGCAAGATGTCCTTGGGGTTGCAAGCTATTGGTGCCCTGACTCAGGACAGTCTCATGAAGTCCCTCTCCTTGACTCCCCTCCATTTCTCCTCTTTGAATTGCCAAAGTTTCATTACACAGCAACTCTATTCATTATTTGGAAACTTGGAACCTACTAACTGCCTGCTGGTGATATATGGTGATATGATAGGATATTAGGAACCATAAAGCAAAAGCTAGTCATTTCTATTCCTTGGCAAAGAGTTACTTATTTGGGGAGCATGTGTATTGAATCTGCTTAGTTACTGATGGAAAACTTGAAAACTTTTCTATCCTGGGCAATGTGGGAAGTGGAGTATAAGATTGGAGACTTTTGCCATCAAACTTTCTTTCTTTCTTTTCAAAGAGCAGCCTCTCAGTTGTACACATATATGGCTTTGGAGGCTGGCTTCAATATGACCGTCCAGACTCTTCACATGTGCAGTGTTGTCTCCAGCTGGATGAGCCAAATTGAGAATCCGTCCCCTGAGCATAATGAGAAAGCACCGTGAAATGGAGAAATCCCTCCACACCCATTCAGGTTCCTCAGGGGGAAAAGTGTACATCGTTCCCTTAATAGTGTCATTTAGTCTATGCTTTCTCTAGATGTAAGAACATTGTATCCACACATTCAATGCAAAAATAAAAGTAGATTCTGGCGTAGTACTGCTCACTCCATAAGTCTTATTTAATTACTAGAGACCTGATGCGTGAAATTTGTGCAAGGGGCTCAGCCCCTGCTCTGGTGGCTTTGTCTGAAGGCCATCCAGAATTATGTCCAGAAGGACATCTGGTCTAATTAACATATGCTTTTATTATTATAGATAGACCAAAGCATGATTGTACAACCTATAAACATTTATGTTGAGAAAATATGTATTGTATATCTGCTTGTACTGTGGGATTTTGGATAATAGAACACTGGTTGAATGAAGGATGATACATTCAGGGAGATGCAAATGTAGTGGGAGACAAAGCTCACAAAAAGTATCTAACCGTAACCGCCACCATAAGACAGTACATTATCAGGCATGACAGTGATGAATAACTTGGGTTGTGCAACTACATTCTGTTTGTAGCATCTAATAACTTGGTTAGATTTATCCTAACATTAGCACATTTCTCCTTTTTTTTTTTTTTTAATGAGGAGAGCATTATGAATAGTATCAGGGACTTCAAATTAGTGTATAATACAATGCTGAATTGACAGGTGTATTTTATGGGTAGGAGCTTGAGAAGGTAAGAGATGAGATAGATCTTGAATAAAGTGTAAGATTTTCAAAATCGAAAGTGAAGGAAGCAAGAAAGTGAACTTAGTTTTAAAAGTTTCTAAATGGGTACATCTTGATATTTATACATATACTAGAGGCCTGGTACCTGAAATTCATGCACAGGGGTTGGGGGTGTCCGTCAGTATAGCCTGCATTCTCTCCAATCTGGGCTGTTCGACTGCTGGCTACTAACCACTCACCTGCCTGCCTGATTGCCCTTAACCACTCTGCCTGTCAGTCTTATGATAGCCCCCTCACCACTCCCCTGGTGGCCTGATTGACACTTAACTGCTTCCCTGCTGGCCCAATTGCCTCCAACTGCCTTCCTCTGTGGGGCTGGTTGCATGAGGCAGGGCTGAGGGGACTGGGCGCTGCCATTTTGTGGCTGTGAACACTGCCATCTTGTGAGTATGTGATGGTCAATTAGCATATTCCCTCTTTATTAGATAGGACAAGGATATTTTGAAGGATGCTTTTACTATGTCTACTATACTAGTTCATATCGTTCTAAGGGATAGAATTGTGAGGCTGTTTCACGTACTCAAGAATCATTTATTCAACTCATGGTATATGCTGAACACTGTTGCAGGGCTGAATATACAAAGTCCTTGTCCTAAAGGAGTTCAGAACTCTAAAAGAAGGAGATAAAAGAAAATCAGAGTGCTTTGAGCAGGTGCATATAGGAGATGGTGAGGGAGAATGAGATACAAACCACCCAGGCAGGAGGCATTGCAGTAATCAAAGTGGAAGATAACAACAATCTGTAGAAATCGTGAGTTAGCAATAAGTGGAATGACCAGAGGATCCTTAAAAGGCTGACTTGCATCCACAGGACTTATGATTGACCACCAGTCTATCAAATTAATGGGAAAAGACAATGCTTCCTGGCTTGAGTAATTGATGACATGCTTGAACCATTCCAATATAGGAGATCCAAAAAAGAAAAAGAAGGAAATACCATGAGTTCTATTTTGCTCAATTGGGGAATGTAGGCATCTGAATTAAGAATAAATCAGACCCTCAATGTAGCAGAGCTAAGAAGGCTCCACTGGAATGACATCCGCAAAATAGTAGAGTAGGCAACCCATCCCTCCTTGGGGACATTGAAGACATAAGCAGAAACTGTCAGAACAAACTTTGTCAGAGCTCTGGGGGAAAAAAATTAAAGGTTTACAGTAACCAAATGAGTACTGAAACAATAAAGGGCAACTTAAAAATGGTATGAAAACATTGTGACATTTTTACTAGTCCCAACACCTCTCCAAACTGGGCATATTCTGGAAGGTTACAGCCTGTGTTCTCAGCATGGGACTCTAGTCTTTGGTGCCAAAGAGAATAGAGCAGATATTATGAACTAACTTGAGGCCCAGAGCATGGGTAGGGTCCCTAGGCCTGGCCAGCGATCGGGGCCAATCTGCAGGTGACCAGCGGGGTAATCATGGGCTGGCCTGGGGCTTGCAGGCTGAGGGCAGTTCCTGCATTGAACATCTGCCCTGTGGTGGTCAGTGTACATCATTATGACCAGTCGTTCCATAGGTCATTCTGCCACTTGGTTGATTTGCATATTAGGCTTTATTATATAGGATTGCTGTGTTTTTCTGTTCTAACCTGTCTGGAGGCTACCTGAAGGATAACACAAGGAATGTTGAAAACAGGGATGCAAACGTGTACACCAGTGACCACAGCAACATTATGCATAATATCCGAAAGGTAGAACACCCCAGTGCTCATCGACGAAGAATGGATGAACAAATATGGAATATACATATATACAATGGCCTATTATTTAGCCATGAAAATGAATAAATTATTGATACATGGTACAAATGAATGCATCTTGAAATATTATGCTAAATGAAATAATCTAGACACAAAAGGACAAATATTGTATGATTCCCTTCATACGAGGTACTAGAATAGGCAAATTCATAGGAATGGGAAGTATAGTAGAGGAAGGTAGATGTTGGAGAAGGGGGACATTGGGAGTTATTGCTTTATTGGTAGAGTTTTTGAATAGGGTGATGAAAAATTTTGGAAATAGATTGTATTGTAAAATGTACAAAATCTAGTCACGCGAATTATCAGTAAGGATGTTTCTCAAATTTTTTAAATTGCATTTTCTTCAGAAAGCATTTTTATAAAAAAAAAACTAGGGTAAATGAACGATCAACTTTCTTTGGATTATGCAGAGGAATAAGCATCATGAACATCTTCACCTTTTTTCACTTACTTCACATTCTGTACTCCTTCAAATCAAATACCCTCATCTTCTATTTATATGCTTGAGAGAATTTGGGTATCCATAATATAATTGTGTTTTTGGTACACTGTTATTAAATGGTCCAGAACTTCAAGTGTTAAAACAATAAACTCTCTAAAAATTAATAATATACCTTACCAGCAGATGGCGGGCTTTACTCAATTGTGTGTGTGTGTGTGTCTGTTCAAAGATTTTATAAGCAAGATATTGAGAAAGGTTATTTCTCTTAGATTATAGAATTGGTCTTGAGGTAACTATTATAGTAGAAATCTAATAATTAATAATCAAAGTGATATAGTTAATTACACTTGAGTTTTTGTTGATGTTGGTCTTAAGGGTATTGAATTTAATGAGTTGGACACTACAACATGAGGCAGGCCTATGAGGGCTGGGGTTAATCATACCTGGAAATATCTTCTTGGTCCCGGGAGAAAGGTTAGAAAAGGCTAGAAATTGTTAGGGCTCCAGCTAAAGGGACCTATTTTGAATCTCAGCTGGACTTTAGGCAGAAAAACCACACGTGTTTTGGACTACTGTCACTGAGGTAATTGAGGACTGCAGTATCAGTGGGCTCACAGGAGAGCTCTGAGATGAGTTTTGTAAGAATGATGAGAAGCACCTGCTAGTGAGGAGATGGGTCCAAATACAAGGAGTAGTTCAGAAGGTAGGCCAATGGTATGCCTGTGAGGGAAGCACTTCAATCTCAACAGCCGAGCAGAGCTGTGTCTTCATGAATTTCACCTTTCAGAATAGTCACCATTATGTAGTAGAGGCTTAGATATGCGCCTTGACTCTGAAACCAATGTCTTTGAGTGCCCCACTAAGCCCCTCTGGTGTCTTTCCAAGATAGGGCGCCCGAAGCATTCCTGATTTGATACTCATACAATCCCCTCCCTGGATCCTGTTCCCTGTAAGCAGATGCTCTGTAGAAAATGGAAACATTTCCTAAAACAGACTATGACCTATTTTGTGGTCCTCTTTTTGGGCTCTCTTGATGCCCTTTCTTTTCCCTGGAAGGACCCCTGATTCGGATCCTTTCCTGAACTGCGTCTCAACTGGTTCACCCTTGGAGGCTATTTTGGATGAACCTCCCAAGCCAGTTATTGAAATGCTTTTAATAAAGAAATAAACTTTACTGGGCCATTTTCCACATATTATTCAGCTGCTAAAACATTTCAATGACATAATAAATATTTGAAAATTTTAGAGGACTGAAAATTGAAAAAAAGCCATCCATAAGATTCAACAACA